ATTGGTTCCGTCTTGCAACATTTGCGTGTGTTCAGATGTGCAGGAAAATAGTTCTATCCTACACAATTATTCACTAACATAGAATATTCGTCCAATTTAATGCATATTATACACATTTTTTATTAAATAAACAAAATCATTGGTAAATAAAACACACCTTAGTATCGATATTTTTTATTTGAGTATCGATACTTTCGATACTCCCATCAGTATCGATATATCGATACTTCAAGATCGATACGCCCATCCCTACTCATCATTTAGACCCCATAAGCAGGTCCTTGCTTCAAGCAGAAGAGGACCCTTAAAAATTTTGTCCAACTGCATACCGATCAAGTCCCAGAACTGCTGTATAAGAGGACAACTCCATAGTCAATGATAAAATTTCCCAGTGGCAGATTTACATTTGATACATAGATCTGACAGGTTTGGGTTCATTTTATGTCTTACCTCAGACGTAACAAATAGTCTATGCAGAAGTTTTAATTGTCTTTCCCAAGCGGAATTAGTGGCTAAAACAGAAATAGGATTGCTACATATCTCATTCCAAGAATCAGTTTCAATTGCGCAGCCCAAGCTGGCTTCCCATTTGTCCTTAAAGGGTCATGAAACCCCAGACTACTTTTTTCTGAGATTTTAGCAGAGGTGTTTGTGTTGCACATCATAGAAGACAATGTTAGCATCCGGTCATTTTAACTGTTGGAGAAAACTGGTTAATTTTATGCTTTTTTGCTCTATTTTCATCTTCCGGGTTTCAAATCTACATCGTGTTGACGTCACATTGATGACGCGTCGGTGTCTATTAAATTATTCGTGTTCTTATCCTATGAGAAGAAGCTTCGCTTAATTATTCACAACAGCATGTGCTGATTTGCTATGACCGACGCTTCAGACAGTGAGAAGACATCGCGCACATTAACTGAGAAACGTTCATGGATGGAAGAAGAGTGTTGGTTTTGCTTTGTAATAAGAGATCAGCACAAACGCGATTCATTCACTTGGTGAGTGTAACCGTTTTTACAGCTCCGTGACACAACCCGTCAAAAGGCTTATATAAACGCCGCAGAATAGGCCATAAAAGTTACCAGGTGCAACAGCACGTTCATATATATGTTTTCGATGGAGAGTGCAAATGGCTATGCATTTATTTGTGTTTTTAACTCGATGGGAGAGAAATGAAACCATCTGAACGCAAAGCTGTGTGTGTTGTCTGTCTCCCCTCTTCCCACTTGGACCCTTAAAATAATTACCTTTGACCAAAGCAGAAACTTTTTCAGGGGACATATTCAGTAAATTATGCAGAGGAATCCCATTCAGGGACACAGATTCACACTCAACCCAAGTGGAGTCCGGGTTATTTACAAACCATTCTAACAGAAATCTAGACTGAGCAGCCCACAAATAAAATAAAAAGATGGTGCTGCTAACCCCCCGGCTTTAACAGGAAGACATAGAAAACTGTAACGTAGTCTAGGTTTCTTTTTAGCCCAGATAAATGAAATTATTGAACTATTTAATTTAGCTAGGACTTTTTTCGTAATTTTAATAGGGATCATTTGAAATAAGTAAAGATAGCATGGAAGAATATTCATCTTAATGAGATGAATGCGACCTAGTAAAGATAGGGGCAGGCCGCACCATACCTCAAGATTGTGTTTCACTGATTATAACAGAGGTACAAAATTTAAATTGAATAAGTCTGCTATTCTAGAGGAGATTTTTAAACCCAAGTAAAAGAACCCTGTAGGGGACCAACGAAGCGGATACGATATACTTGGGTCCAATCTGTGCGAACTATTGAGGGGCATGGCTTCACTCTTAGAAAAATTCATCTTGTAGCCGGAAAAGGAACCATAATCAATCAATTATATCAGTTTTGGAATAGATTGTTTAGGAGACTCTATATAAAACAAAACATCATCAGCATATAAAGAAATGTTATGCTGCCGATCCTTTAAAATAACACCTTTGATACTTGTATCTTCTCTTATACTAACCGCCAAGGGCTCCATGGCTAAAGCAAATAATAACGGGCTCAAGGGACACCCTTAATGATCTTCTTCTTAACATAGACAAAACTAAGGAACTTATTCTGGACTTTAGGACATAATGAATTAAAGTACTAAAATATGATAAAGTATGATTAGTATTCCACGCAAAACAACTTTGCTTTATTGGGATAGGATAATTCTACTCCGGACGCAAGCAGCACGACGTGACGACAGCAGAACCCAATAATCAGCAGTGTTGGGGAGTAGCTAGCTACAAGTCGCGATGCTACTAGCGTAACTACATTTTTCAGTAGCGTGACAGTAGCTCCGCTACTTTTAAGACAGTGTAGCTTTTCCAGTAGCTAACTACTTTTTCCAGCAAGTAGCGGTGTAGCGCGACCAAAAGCTACATTCTGCTTTGCGTTCTGACGAGTCACGAGCCTGTATGCACTGAAGCAGCACAGCGTCGTCTTCTGACTAGATCACAAACTTAAGCTGATCATTACCGCCATCTGTTGTGATCTCACGCATCGCGCGACTTTACAGCCTGTCCACCGACAAGAGATCGTCTGGTGTTGCTGCAAAGGATGTACAGGAGTGGATATTTCACATGAATCAACTGTAATTTACGCAAAACAAAGATTAAAATGCAGTCTACGTCGAAGACTTAAATAACATACAGGAGGTGAATAATAGCCTTTTTAAACGGATTCATTTTTCTGCTTTATAGCACTCTAGATCAAATGTCTATTTTACAATGATGAACGGTCATAATATAATCTGTGCCCCACAGTTTTGTAATGAACACTAATCGAACAGAAAATAAAATTGTGATATAGTAGTGTGCTTATCTTAATTATCTTATCATAAACGCAATTTCAATTCTCTGTGTGTATGTGCTGTACATGTGGAAGAATTGACAATAAAGCAGACTTGAACTTATCTCTCAGAGTGTCTCCATTCACAGTCAGTAAATACCGCATGTGAGATAATACAACTATATTTTATTATTGTGTGCATCGGACGGTTTACAAAATCAAACGATTAGGACACTTTTTGTAATCGAAATGATTTGGGGAAAAGTGTCCCAATCAACCCGAATTCACCCTAATCTTTGAAATCACGTTTGCATCACAATATGTAGTTTTAAACCCCAAATATCTTACTTATATCGTCGTCATATTTTACTTATGACTTATTTGTAATTCTTCATTAACAATTATTCAGTTATTTATAATGTTAAATGTAAAATCTTGAAATATTGGCGGTGGGGCACAGAATCACCTGTTTCTAACAGCGCGGGGACTGAAGTCAAAACATGGAGGGAATTGGCGTTAACGGGACAAGGGAGGTCATTAATGGGACACATAAATTAAGCCCAGTATACGGGACGTCCCGGCTAATACAGGACAGTTAGCAACCCTAGTCACGCTGTAAAAATCCACCTGTTACTAAAGATCCATATAGAATTTTTTCCTCACGTTTACGTTGTTGGTCTTAAAGTGGACCTGTTATGCTCACTTACAAGTTTATGATTTTGTTAAGGGATCTACTAAAATAGATTTACATACTTTAATGTAAATAAAAAACAAACATATAATTTACATGGTCCATCACCCTGAAAACCAGGCATTTGAAAAAAGCCCAATCTGCTTGGATTCCGACTCTGTTGTGATTGGTCAGCCGCTCAGTGCTTGTGTCGGACATGTAATACCCTTATCATAACTGGCAAGTGTCAGGTCTATAAACACTACTGTAACCGCTTAACTATGGTGTCAGAGTCCAGAAGAACACACGGATTGAGCTGAATCACCTTTGCATGCACAGCTTGAGCAAATTGTTTCACAGGCGGTAATTATTATTATAAAACGGAGAGTTCCGGTCCTTGATTCTGATTGGCTGAGCCGCGTTCGAAGCTGTTGTAAATTACTCTACAAAGTAACATACACCTTTGTTTACATTTGTGTGTTGCTCGGCAACCACTTTGTTGCAACCACAACTGATTCTGAGGAGCTACATTGTTTGGTGGAAGAATACTGTTTTTATTAATATCATTACACTTTATTTGCTCCTTATAAATTCACTGTAAACCACGGCTTCACGGGGCTTATTGCTTTAATAACTCTCTAACACGTCACAGTAAAAACTGTATGTCAACATACCAAACTACATGGTCCAAAAAGCAGTCATTAGCAAAACGGTGAGAACACAACATTTTAACCAGTGATTCCTCAGTTCCTCTTTTATTCGGATGTTCATGTAAGGACGCTTTTCCTCCCAGTCAAGAAAACAGATCTTTCTCACTCTAGTGATGAATTTTAAGCCCTGTTGAAAAAACCAGCATATGCTGGTTAGGTATGGACCAGCATAAACCAGCAAAGGACCAGCAAAAGGACCAGCATCCCAGCGTCAAAACATACCTAACCAGCATATGCTGTTTTTTTCAACAGGTTCCTGTCCTTATTATATCTACCTTTATTTGATGGCAAGCCAAAGTAGCAGCTGATGCATTACACATTAATGCAGATGTGTTATTATATGTTGACACAGCTACATCACAGAAGTAATAGCTGGACTACACACGAGTCATTTTTTTTTTGTTTGAGTGTGATGGGTCATTTATGAACAGTTTGTCATGTGACGAATTAAAGATTTGGTAAAGATTTGGTAAAGTAATCAAATAAGTGCCTAAGAACTTCTCTCTGGTTGCATTACAATGATTTTGTAATTAAGGAATGTGATCAAGATTGCATAGGTGGACGTGTTCGGGGAACCTGGCTGGTCAAATATAAGGTTTAACTTGGAAATAGGATCTTCTCTAGACTGCAATACACTACGGGACACTAGGCATCATACACTTGCACACTTCGCAGATAGAGAAGAAGAACTGGGCATCACACACTAAATGACTGAGGATCACACACTACTAGACTTCAGTGGTGATCCAATCATAACAAACTCAAGCCAACATTTTAATAAGAATCAAACGCATTGAGAATGAAAACCAACCTGTTAGTTCCTCGAAATCTTCTGGTTTGAGACTGAACACTTCTTCAATCCTGAAGTCTTCAGTCTCCTCTTTAATAACCGCCATGTTTCTGTGTGTTTGGGCACTCTGTCATGATTAAGAAGGGAATAATTAACAAAGAAAAATAAATGCAAACTAAATCTTCTGTGTGCGTCTCAATCAGAGTGATGACTAAAAACACGCAAACAGGCTCAAAACTAGCACTACAATTGAAAGAACACCATTTATATACACAGTTTCTATTTACTTGAATGTTATTTCATGACAATATATTCCGCTTTCATCAAAAACATTTGCGTCACACTTGTTTGTTGTTGTCATTGGCTTTAGGCTGAAATGGGTTTACATCTTACACAGGATAACGTTCTTTAATATGAAAGTATTCCGATGTTAACATAAACAACAGCTAATGCATTTCATAGTTCGCTACGGCTTGTAAATGATTTAAATGCTTTAAATGAAAGAAAACACAAACCTTTCCTCGGATCGCAGACGCAGGAGAGCGTCGCAGCCTTATGACGTCACGTCGCCAGACCAAAATAAAAGTCTTCTTCTTCTTCTTCTTTTTGTTTTTATGGCGGTTGGCAAACCAGCTTTACGTGCATATACCGCCACCTACTGGGATGGAGTGTGGAGCATTGATGTTAAAGGAAAAACTAAAAAGCTAAAGAAAAATACATAGAATTCGTTAAATCCTGTTCATTAATTCTGTGCCCTTCGGATACTTAAATAGCATGTGAAACATGTCTATAGTTGCATCTTTATTTAACAATTTCTGAAGTGAGATCTGATTAATTCCTATATGAAGTGCTTCTGTAAGTTGCAATCTTTCATTCTCGTATCTTTTACATTTTACTAAAATATGTTCAACTGTTTCAGGAAGATCACATTTAACACAAAGTCCAGATTCATGTTTTCCTATTGTATACAATGATTGATTAAGTGCAGTGTGTCCAATTCTAAGACGAGATATTATGCCGTCTTCCGTTCTATTCTCCTCTCATTTCCAACTATTTTTTGAATATTATATAAATGTCGTCCTTTATTATCACCATCCCATTTACTCCACATATCTTTTAATGCTTTTTTAATTAGCCCTTTTATTTCTAGTTTACTCATCGGAACATTAAACTCTATGTCTGGATGTTTTCATGTTTGTGTTTTGCTATTTGATCCACCAGTTAATTTCCTTTTATTCCTATATGTGCAGGTTCATACAATTTTAACTTAACAACCAGTGTTTTCTTCTTTTTTGAAAAACATTAATTTCGTTTTTCCCACCGATATTCGAAACCCCCAATTACTTGCCCACATTTCAACTTCTTTAATAGCATTCTGCATGCTTTCTTCTACATACGACACATTTCTACCTCTTTTCCATAAAGCACCATCGTCTGCATATGAAGACTTTCCAATCCCTGGTCCAACTGTATTAAAAATATAATTTATCATGTTGAACAATATAGGGCTGCAAACAGAACCTTGTGGGATACCATTACTTGAATGGTTCTATCAATTAAAAGATCCTTAATCCAGCTGTACATTCTACCATTAATATTCAATTTAATTAAAAGTCCTTCCTTCCATGTCATATCGTACGCTTTCTCAATGTCCAAAAACACACCAACTAATACTTCTTTATTAACCTGATCCTTCCTTGTATTCGATTCTAGACATAAAATGGCATCTGTTGTGTTTCTGCCTTTTCTAGAACCCCTCTGATGAGGACATACAAGATCTTTTGGTTCCAGAACATAATTCAATCTTGCCACTACCATTCGTTCCATTAGTTTACAGAGGTTAGATGTTAATGCAATTGGTCTGTAGGGATGTCAAAATGGCTGAAAAACTAAAATCGAATTTTGTACTTAAATATGATCAAAATTCGAATTATATTCGAATTTAAAATGCATAATTTCAGTTAGGATGAAGAAAAGCTCCAGAGGCCACAAGAGGGCGCATCATTCAAAGCATAAGATAACGTGACTATCTGCGAAAAAATAGTGCAAAATGTTTAAAATAATGTTTATAAACCAATTATAATTAAGTTGCTTAAACAACTATAAACAAAACAGCATCATGTATGTATGCATAGTTTAATACAAAGGGCGGAAAGCCAATCACACAGAGTACATTTTTCATTTAAAAACATGAGATGCA